TGCAGCCGTAAAGATGAATGTGTTTGCACATGGCTGCTACCAGTGCATTTCATCATGTTCCTTCTCAGACGATCCTCAGAGAGAAAGTCCAAACAGGGGCAGAACAGGCTTGTATTATATTATACAGTGATGTATTACCCAACACAATATTGCACATTCAAAATCTAACTTACAGTCCACTACTCTTTTTTCTATTTGCCATTTCTATTCATAAAACAGCTTGGCCAAACAATAACACCTCCCTTGTTTGATGCAGATCTATTCCAAGAACAAAATCTATGCTGCAGCCATCTCATATTTCACAATATAAAGAAATTCCACAAAGCATATACCTGCATTAATGTGTCATACAACTATGCTTTCTGTCCACTGTTGTCATGTGGGCAAACCAGGTACCCACTAAGGTTCTGATCAAGTTAAATATTGAATTAAATGTTATTAATATTTATTAAATAAATAAATAAATAAATAAAAATTGTATTATGCAGCACAACAATGTTCAACTGGGATAAGAAATGTTTCTTAAGCACTAAATCAGCATATTAGAATGATTTCTGAAGGATTATGTGACACTGAAGACTAGAGTAATTTTAAATTGTAAAAATATTTCACAATTACAAATAGGAGAACATGATATTGCTATTCTGAAAATTACAGCTTTACTGTATTTTTAATCAAATAAATGCAGCCTTGGTAAGCATGAGACTTAAGAAATGTTGAAAAATGAGAAAATGAGAAAAAATGTTACCAACCCCAAATTAATATATATTTAGTTTGCTTGTTTTTCATCAGGTTTAGGTATTTTACATTTTAATACTTGCGTTTTTGGGTCAGGAATCACCACTTGAGAAACACTGCTTTATGTATATAAATACTGGGAAAAGGGCTCACCCTTAAAAACTTTGCCACAGGTCCTGTGAGTTTTAGCAATGACCCTGACACAGACAATGTCAACATATTAATAAATGAAAAAGACAGCCATGTGGTGTGCAAGCACCCTGGCCAAAAGCATAGTTTCTCGTTCTTCTCTGGCCACAGGGTCTGGGCCCTCCTTTGCCCCCACCCTCAGTTTCAGAAAGCTGTACACTGTTCAAGAAAGCATATACCTGCATTAATGTGTCATACCACTATGCTTTCTGTCCACTGTTGTCATGTGGGCAAACCAGGTACCCACTAAGGTTCTGATCAAGTTAAATATTGAATTAAATGTTATTAATATTTATTAAATAAATAAATAAATAAAAATTGTATTATGCAGCACAACAATGTTCAACTGGGATAAGAAATGTTTCTTAAGCACTAAATCAGCATATTAGAATGATTTCTGAAGGATTATGTGACACTGAAGACTAGAGTAATTTTAAATTGTAAAAATATTTCACAATTACAAATAGGAGAACATGATATTGCTATTCTGAAAATTACAGCTTTACTGTATTTTTAATCAAATAAATGCAGCCTTGGTAAGCATGAGACTTAAGAAATGTTGAAAAATGAGAAAATGAGAAAAAATGTCACCAACCCCAAATTAATATATATTTAGTTTGCTTGTTTTTCACCAGGTTTAGGTATTTTACATTTTAATACTTGCGTTTTTGGGTCAGGAATCACCACTTGAGAAACACTGCTTTATGTATATAAATACTGGGAAAGGGGCTCACCCTTAAAAACTTTGCCACAGGTCCTGTGAGTTTTAGCAATGACCCTGACACAGACAATGTCAACATATTAATAAATGAAAAAGACAGCCATGTGGTGTGCAAGCACCCTGGCCAAAAGCATAGTTTCTAGTTCTTCTCTGGCCACAGGGTCTGGGCCCTCCTTTGCCCCCACCCTTCCCTTATCAGTATTCGCTCCAGGGCACTTTCAGCTCAAGAGAAAATTCACTGCACTGTGAAAGAGAGAATGTGTGGTATTAAATTATACATCAGCTTCTCTCCATACAAGCAGTTTGCTATGTTCTCACTATTGCCTAGGTGTTGGATTCAGTTTACATATTCACACATGACCAGTGTTGGGCAGTAACGCATTACTTAGTAACGCATTACTGTAATTTGATTACTTTTTTAGTAACGGAGTAATTTAACGCGTTATAATTTTCAAAATAGTAATTATAGAGTATAGTTACAAGCCGAAGTCTCTATACGTTACTGCCGCGTTACATTGCTGACAGAATACAGTGTTTTATAATCTAGAGATTGTAAAAAGGATGTTGCACACACACTGTCGAGTCAAGTGCCAGTGGATTAGAGACCTGCTCCCGCGAGACCCGATGCAACAGAGTGCGGCGTGGGACAAGATGGGCGAGTGCTGCTGCGAGCGGGTAGAAATTTGTGTGTGTGCGGAATGCGGGAGAATAAAATGATTCACGGACTCCAGCAAAATAGAAATGTAAACATAAAATAAAAAAGCATATGCAGAGTTTCTATTTAGGCTATAACACGTGTTTGCAGCGTTGAGCAATGCAGTGCTGAAATTTGTGTGCTCATGAATCCTCTCATTATAACACACGAATTATAGACATTATGAAAGATTCATAATACATATATGTATTGTGTTAAAACAGAGATTTGTGAGATTGCGATGAACTGAGATGTCTTTTAGAGATTATAAATGCAGCACTCTTTTCTGGCATTCTGCCATGCCAAACCATGCACGTGTAGCAGCCGCTTGTTTTAGTTAAAAATAACAGTGTTTTGTGAATGTTGATGCTTTAATAACAAATATTTATCGGGAGCATGTATGCTGGGATTTCATAAATTTAATGGATAAAAAAGTAACGTAACTAGTAATGTTACTAATTACTAATTACTTTTGAAATAAAGTAATCAGAACAGTAACTGTTGTTGCCGCCGGCATGGCATGGCGTACTTTGGTTGGCCTTCCAAAAGAGGACGATATCCGCTTCGTCATGCCTGGAGCTGATCTGTGCTGGTCGCTGAGGAAATACATCAACTTTGCGCTGTCGATCGCCGGATCGGCTTTCACGGGCATAAAGCAGCAGATCTTGACTTGCTTTCCTTATGAGAACACACAACCCGTGGTTAACTGCTTAGATTTGTAAATGCTATAAACCTCTCTGTGATCTCCAAGATACATTTAGTGAGGAAGAAGCGGGAGCAGTAATGTGAAATGCCTTTAAGTTATCTCTGCAATTGTCTTCTCATCGTAAGGGGCTGTTTAAAGTCCCAGGACTGGATGACATTCAAACTCCACGCCAGCTAATTGGTGCTGACACACAAAATTGATGACCTGCTTTTAACACCTTGCTTTAAAAATAAACAACATTACAGATTTGATTACAGAAGTACATCAAATTAGCAAGCAGACTAATGCCAATTCCCCATTCCCTAATAAAACAGAATTTTTTTCAGTCACTGTAAACAAACTTGGATTTTGTTTGGATTGCACATTCTTTTAGGATTCATGAGTGAATTGTGCAGTGTTGGAGAGTAACTAACTCAATCTCACTAACTCAGTAGTGTGAAAGCAGATTGGATTTTTTCAGTGTTCAACTTTACCTTTAACAAGCTACTTTTACCAATATGTACCATATATTATAAGCAAATGTGGGAGCAAACAAATGTGCTCTCTCTGGGAAGAAAACTGGGGAAACTGGGAAGAAAAAAATGCATCCTTATTTCAACAAAAATATTTAAACATCGATAAATTTTCAACATCAATAATAATAAGAAATGTTTCTTGAGCACCAAATGAGCATATTAGAATGATTTATGAAAGATCATGTTAAACTGAAGACTGGAGTAATAGCTGCTGAAAATTCAGCTGTGCAATCACAGGGTGAAATTACATATTAAAATATGTTCAAATAGAAAATTGTTATTTTAAATTGCAATAATATTTCACAATTTACTGTGTTTACTGTATTTTTATAGTAGTATAGCAAACCTAATTGACATTGCTCATTTAAAACCCCCACTATTTTCATTCCAGACAAATACGGCTAACTGAATTGTAAAATCCATAAATAACTAGTATACCAGGATATGTACGCATTTAAAAGAATAAGTAATGTAGCAAACTAGTAGCTTGACAAAAAATATGAGTATCTTGTGGCCTGACAGGAACAATTTCAAATTAGCAATGCTGACACTGGAACTGATGGTATTATCATACAGATGTGCAAGGACATACATGGAGTCATGTACACAGAAATTACAATGTAAATACTATTTCCCATTTGCAGCGCTCTCATATATCTCTTCTTGAGTTCTCTCTAGTGTGTGTGTGTGTCTATGTGCACACGTTCCCTGCATGAGTGTCTTAGTGTGTATCCACTGCCTCTAGTCTACCTACCATACCTACTGCAGTACTCATATCTTTACTTATTATCTAAATGGAATCTCCACCCTAAGACCTGATCTCCACTGACAGGATCTCCAGCACCCTCTCCAGCACTACACTTCCTCTTTTGCCTTCTATCTGTCTCTCCTCCTCTCACCTTGAATATCTGCTTTAGAGCAGGCAAAATCTCTCTCTGACAATAGACCTACTTTAAATGGGAAAACATGCTAATGCTATTGGGGGGGGGGGGACAGAAGCTGTAATACTGGGAGTCATTATTCCCGAAAACTGATATGAAACAAATAGAGCAAGTGGGCAGCCCTGTGTCCACAGGATACAGAGAGGATAAAGACAGAGATGAAAAACTGTCGGCTATGTGCTCATTAACATGCAGAACTAATGAACTCAGCAGCAAGCCCAAACACTATTAAACTGCTTGACTGTCTCTTTTGTAATGCAGAGAAGATAGCTGGAATAGGTATCAATCCTGATGCATAAGAAGTTGGGAAGGGATTTTATTGGAAGCAAGCAAAATAATAAGACTTTACCAAACAATGTGTCTATATGACAAAAAAAAAGGTGTTTCATAAAATCATGCCATCACAGACAGTGAGACAAGCTCACACACACAAACATATCTAAACACCATCATCCATGCATGTATACAATCAAAATGTTTAGACGATCACACTTACGCGTCCTGAAGCGATGGTGTGGGCGAGTAGGCTTGGTTGAAGGGCCCTTGGAGGAGCGCCCATGATTCCAGCGTTGACCAGGCTTGGAGGGGGACGCGAGGGTGGAGGTCGGTTGGGCCGCTTGGGTGGTGGTTGTGCTCATCATAATCATAGTGGTTGTCATGCTCGTGGTAGTCGGTGGCCCAGCCCGTGCAGAAGGAGATACATTTCGGCTCACACCCTCCCCGCTGGGTTTTCGGACAGTTGTGCTGCGTGGGGTCACCTCCTTTCCTCCCGGTGGGGCAGGATTGGTGGCGGTGGTGGTGTTGGTCAATCGTGTTCCCACTCTGTTATGCAGGTGTGGAGCTCTGTTTCCTGAGCCTCCCCCTAAGGCTCCACCACCTCCTCCACTGCTGCTACTGCTACTGGCCGTGTGGTTTGAGGACTGCCCAATTCGAGTCCTTTGCACTGTACCTGTACCCTCAGCTGCACGGGTTGCTGAACCCGGAGCCGCTGAGGGCGTTGTGGAAGTGGTAGATGTGGAGCCATCAGAACCCTTGGGCAGGGCACTGGGTTTAGATAGGAAAATGGGGTCCTGTCCGATGCGATTGGCATCCACCAGGTCAGTTGGGACATAATCCTGCACTGAGCCCACCACAATCCACTTTAAAAGCATCAGGCTGAGGCCTAGGCCCACAAACCCCATCAGCAGGGGTACAACGCAAAGCCAGGTCTGCTGCCGTGGCCACACCGCACAGGGGCCACAGCGGAGGGGCCCTGGGGCCCGGGGAGAGGCTTGTTCACCCCCGGGCTCCTCCAGGGTCATGGTCTCCATGGTGGCCCCTAGTGCCGTTCTCTCACTCATGCTTCTGGGGTTCAGGGCCCAGCCAGAAAGTAGTGCAAGCAGTGGAGGGGGCTGGGGAGGGAACCAAAACTGGGCATCTCATTAATATTCATTTAACACTCTTCCACAGCTACAGATACATGCAACACTGACTACTCATATGAATAGCAGAGCAAACATCAGCCTATATATATATATATACATATATATATGTATATATATATATATATATAGGCTGATGTTTGCT